AATAAGAAAAGATAATTAAAATTAATCCCATTGGTTGTGCTTTTTTGCCTCAGCGACAGTTTCAAATGTGAGACATCCGTTTGAACAGAGTTTAGGGTCTGTCTGTCCTGTATCGGTGAGAGATGGCTCATCCTGATGAAACGTTTGGTGGTCATGATGCTCTTGTGTTTGGAGGAAGCTTCGACGGCTTTTACCCTGGATCTGGTTACAGTTGAGCATAGAACTTCAGTAATTTACTTTGCAACCAAAAACGTGTGGTGTCAATCACACCTGTGCATGCCCCCCATGAATTAATTTGAATTACAAGCCGTTTTGTTTGTAGGGCAGGTGGCTTCTGGTTACTCTGGCAGAGGACGGGCTCTGCCGTCCCCTGGCTTTCCTCCCGGGTCTGCTGGAGGCTCTCAGCATTGGCTGAGCGTTCATTCACAGAATGACAGAAACACCTTTCCCGTCTCTTGAGAGACGGGCCTCCTGAAGGGCAGCGTGTTGAGTGCTAATGTTGTTTTTTCCCCACTCAGTTATTTGCGGAACACATGCGTACTCCTGCCTTCTTTTTCCCTCCCTCCTCTGTGACCCCTGCCCCATCAAGGCCTAAAACAGTCCTCATGCGTGCAGACCTTGAGTGCGTCCATCCTTGATCGGTGGCCAGAGCAGAGTGGTCAACAGAGCTAGCGCGGAAGCCAGGACCGCTGGTTTCACACGTCAGCTCCCCCACTTATCCAGGTGTACCCAGGCCCAGCCACTTAACACTCTGTCTGGGCCTCAGTTTCTTCTTCTGTAAAGCGAGGGGACTGACAGCAGCTACTGCAGGAAGTTGTGATTGGGATTGAATGAGCTCACATGTGGAAAGCCACTGGCTGCATGCCCGGCGTGGAGACCGCCTTCAGCCAGTGTAGTTATTGTTGTTGGCGAATTTACGTGTTCAGTAATTATCTGGTATGTGAATGAAAAAAATATGGTATGTTTTGCTCTTTGAAGAGTATCCTTGTGCTGAGATTCCTGAACTTTCTTATTGAGGGTAATAAGCATGTAACTTGGGGTTTCTTAATCGTGGCACTACTGACACTTGGAGCCAGGTAATTCTTTGTGGTTGGGGGCCGTCTTGGGAACTGAAGGATGTTTAGCAGCATCCCTGGCCTCTGACAACAGGTGACTGTAGCACCCCCGCTCCCCCAGGTTTGACAACCAAAGTTGTCTCCAGACATTGCCAAAGGTCCCCTAGGGGTACAGTGGCTTCCCAGTGAGAACCGTTGATGTAACTAACGTGAATACAAAAAGATGGAAAACGTGAAAAGAGAATCTTTTCCCTTATATGCATTCTTCTTTCCAGCTTGTTTTATATTCCTTCTTAAAATAAAAATCCGACACCTTTTCAGGGAGTTTTTGAGCCCCCCCCCCCCCCCCCCCCCCCGCAAGGCTTTGGTTGTCATGTCTAACTTCTAGAATATTTTCATTTTCTATTGTTAATACTAAGATAGTTTGCAGTTCTTTTTCTCAGGAAAGTGAGTTTCATTTTTCTTTTAACAGTAGATGTGTGTGTATGTTTTAAAAGACAAAAAATGTCATTGAATGTCCTCCCTGGGGTTGGTGGACAGCAATAAGGATACTCATTGAAGTATTTAAAACATTTGCACAAATATTTCTGTCTTATTTCCATTTAAATATATCAATTTTAAGAAAAAGCCTTTAAAGGTACAAATGAATGCTGAGTGTTTCCTTTGGGTTGGCATTTATATAGCTGTGGAAGGTATTTTGAGAGCTAATCACAGGATGGTCATCCTGAGGTCATTTTAAAAGCAAAAGGCACCAGCATTAACACATATTAATGGCTGGGGTACAAATGTGTACCTCATTCTCACTTTTTCAAGTGCAGTATTCTTCTGTGCCTGAGTGTATTTTTGTACCTGAGTCAAATTTCCAAGTGGCAATTTCATTATATCCAACAGGAACCATTTCCTTTTAGAAATGATGAATCATTGAACTGGGTGGCCCCCTAAACTGTTTGCGTTTTCCAGGAGTTCATAACATACAGACACATATCAGCTTTATCTTACCTTTCAGGTAGAACAAAGTAATGTTAGAATTATCATAACTTCGGATTTTAATAAAAATATAACTAGGTTTTGAAAAGCTCATCTGTTGGCCCTTTGGTTTTTGGCTTCCTGAGGAATGTCAGCTCTGCTGATGAGAATCACAGGGAGGGCTGTGGAACCTGTTAATTCAGTGGAATATTAATGCCCCCAAGTGACAGGTCTATTTAAATAAGTGGCTGTGGGAAGCCATTCGGAGGACGTATTTTCCCTGAAGAGAGAGAACTCGGTGGAGGTTGGCAGGTTCCAGATCTTTTTAAGAATGCTGGCTCTGTACCCACAGTGCTGTAATAGCTGCAGCATTTGGGGAGCAACACCAAGCAAACGGTAACCTTGAACCCTCCTGGGGTTCCAGGGAGCAAAGCACAAGGTATGGGAGGCAGCCTGGGGAGGAACAGGAAGCAGAGGCGCGGGCATGGCGTTGCTGACCGCGTGGTCTTTCTGTCCTCGGCGAAGCCTGACCGTGTGCTCCTGGGAAGCTCAAGGGCGTGATATCACTACCGAGGTTTCTTCCTGTTTATAAGGAAAGCATGAATGCCCCGTGAACTGAGAATTTGCCAAGTTGAAGTAGTTTCAAATTACTGAGCAGAAAAGGGGCTAAAAACCAGGCATCCCATGTCATCGAGGGCAGCGTCTTGGCTTGGGTAGCATGAAAGCATACTTTGAGGCAAGGACTTGGGGACAGGTAGTTGTTTTGGAAGGTGACCTGAGGAAGGGCTGTGAGGGATGAGGAAGTGAGACCCAGATGACAGGAAAGCTACTACATGTGTGCTGATGACCTGGTTACCCTTGTGGGCAACTGGAATTCAGTCCTGCCCAGAACCTCTGAAAGACCCAGCCCAAGATGTCTCCGAAATGCCTTGTGGGGGTGAGGCAGGGGAGACAGGGCGTTTATTCTGCAGCTCGAGTCCCTCGGGGCAGGGCAGCTCTTGGGCACATTCACTCTTTGGCATCTCTGCCAGCCCATCGTCTGCTCCCCTCCCCAAACCCCCATGCAGTGGGCTGGAGTGGAGGTGGTCTGATGCCCCATCAGGGGCCCTTTCCTGTTTCCTCGGATCCTGATTTTCATTCTAATTCTACCCCAAGTGCCCAAGAGACGGACCAGAGGTAGAACAGGAAGAAGCCTGCGAGGACGCATCCACAGTGGCCCCATGGGACCAGAAAGGCCTCTGGGCCAGAGGGAGACAGAGCTGGGCTTTGAAGGGTAGTTAAGATGGGGAACGGAGGTGATGCGTCCTGGGCTCTGCCTGCCTCCTGCTAGTCCCATGAACCTGGCCATGACCCCCCGGGGAAAGGATCCTGAGAGCGAGTCATGGAGGGAGCTTGTTTTTCTTTAGCACCTGTTTAGAATGCTTTCTGCTGCGAGTAACAGAAATCCTGACTTGACAGTGGCTTAAAGAAGACAGCTGTCTATTTTTCTCACCTCATTAGAAGTCCTGAGGTAGGCAGTCACCATGCAGAGCTGGCCCTGGACTCCATGAGGACATCACGGACCCAGGTGGCTCCCTCCTGTCCACTTAGCACCCTCCACCCTCAGATTGTTGACTGGTCACCTCATGACTGCACGGTGGTCATTAGAGCTCCAGGCTGCAGATCTGTGCTGCAAACAGGGAGCACACTGGTCCCCTTCAGCAGGATGCCTTCTCTTTGGGCTCGTGGGCCAGCCATAAGGGAGGCTGGGAAAATGGGGAACAGAGTTGCAGTCACTAGATTAGTCCAGTAATTCTCATGGTGAGAGGACGATGGTGGGGTTTGCGCCCCAGGGGACATTTGGCAATGTCTGGGGACATTTTGGGTCTTCACAGCTGGTGGAATTCTACTGGAATCTAGTGGGTAGAGACCAGGGATGCTGTTAAAAGTCCTACGATGCACAGAACAACCCCCACCACAAATTATCTGGCCCAAAATGTTAATAATGTTGAGGTTGTGAAGCCCTGGGCTAGACCGATCATGGTGCATTGCTTAGAGTATGTTGCTCACTTGAATAAAATAGGGGATTTTGTGTAGACAACTCACAGCACTTAACATGACAGCAAACAGACCCTGTGGCAGGGGCCCAACAGTTGTCTGCAGTGCTGGAGCTATGGGCGAAACAACGGGGTTGGAAGTATGGATAGGGGGTGAGGAGGCCAAAAATCTCATGCGGAGAAGGTGGGTGCAGTGGCCTTTTGGAAGTTTCCGTATTCTCTGAAAGGTGTGTGTATAAAGTGTTCATCATCGGTACTTGTCTTTTACACCCAGGCCAGTAATATTACCCTAAATGGTCATTTCTTAAGGAGGTGAATCCCTGACTTACAGCCTGACTCAGATTCTCGGGCTGTGTTACAGTCAGAAGGGCCTATGTTCTTTAGAATGTTTGTATTTTCCAAGTTCTTCTTGAAAAGGTACAAGAGGAGCAGGAAGAACCATGCTAAGCTTTGGACAGATGTTCTTTTAGCTTTCCATTAGCGTTTGAAAAATGTCTCTTTCAAGCGGCGTTCATTAAGATTTTAATTTTGCAGTTTGTTCCTTTTTAAGTGACATGCAATTAATTAAGGTTTAGTGTGTCATCTATTTTTTGCAGTGACACTTTTACTGCCCCCTTTTCATTTCAGTCCGTTTATAAATTGTACTCTAGCTAATGAGTTCCATCCTGATTTCCAGTTCCAAATAATTACCACTCTTCTAATACGGCTATTCTTTAATGTGTCACAGAGTTAAGAGCCTTATCGGTGAAATCAGGTGAGCTGGATGTGCCTGGGCCGTGGGGTGCCTGGGGGCTGCTGGGACTCCCCTGCTCTTCTCAGTTCAGCCCCTATTGACCAGACATCACAGCTCAGACACCTGAGGCTGTGTGGATGCACATGCGGGGGCCTCTGCCAGGGCTGGTCCCTGGGGAGCTCGCACACGAGATAATTGCCTCACTTCTCCACAATGCTTTGCCCGGAGAAATATGACTAATGAGACTTGAAATCCTGAATGATTTTTCACTGAGATTGGACCAAGATGAATTGAACAGCAATTTCTTATTAATTCCTATTTTACTACCCAGTTGAGATTTATGACATATTAGGAGGGGTTAGTGGGTGGGATCGGGGAGATTTATTAAGAAAGTGACTAATGTAAGGGAGGCCGTGAGGATGTGGGAGTCAGTGTTCTCCAGAGAAACAGAGCCAAATGGGTGATATGTATTCAAAGGTTTATTTTATGAAGAGATTTATTTTAAGGAATGGGTTTACTTGGTTTTGGGAGTGGGCAAGCCGAGATCTGGAGGGCAAGCCAGTGGGCTGGATACGGGTAGAAGCTGACGACGCAGCCTTGAAACTGAATTCCTTCTCCAGAAAATTCAGCGTTTGCTTTTATAGCCTTCAACGACTTGGACGAGGTCCACTCACATTATTTCGGGTAACCCCCTTGATTAAAGTCAGCTGATTGTGGATTTTAACCACATCTACAAAATGCCTTCACAGCACACCTAGATTAGTGTTTGATTAAATCCCTGGCCATGTTGTCACAGAAAACTGTCACCGAGGAAGGGCCCGCCTTTCGGGGTGAGGGGAAGTGCACGGGGCTGAGGGGCAGGAGACCTCCTCTCCTGTCAGCGTCGTGGCCTCAGGCAGGCTCCTTGGCCTCTGTGACTGCCGTCCATTCCGGAACAAACCTTTATTAAACACATGCCTCCTTCCAGGCAGGACAGTAGGTGTTGAGGAAACAAGTGAGGGGCAGCCCCTGTCCTGGAGAAGCCCACAGCCTGGTAAAGACAACAGATCCATGACCAACCAACCACCCAGCATAGAAACTTTCCCCAAAAATAAGAACCGTAGCCGTCCTCACAGGAGACCTGTGAGGAAAAAGTGAGATGATCAACAAATGGGACACAAAATCCTTTGCAAGTGTCCGTTACTGTTAGTAGTGTTATCTATCTATCTATTTATTTATTTATTTAAGATTTCATTGGGGAAAGGGGAACAGTGTTGGGGAATTGGGGAAGGGTAACAGCCAAGTTGTTGTAATTCAATCTTAGCTGTGGAGGGAGCAGCTAACTCAGCTCTAAGTCCAGTCACCATCTGGCCGCCTGTCGGCAGCTCGCGGCCGCTCAGCTCAAGGTGCCTGTTCAATCTTAGTTGCAGACGGTCGCAGCCCACCATCTCATGCGGGAGTCGAACTGGCAACCTTGTTGTTAGGAGCACGTGCTCTCACCAGCTGAGCTCTCACCAGCTGCCACCTGTTGGCAGCTCAGCAGCAGCTTGGCTCAGGTGCACTCACTGGCCCATGTGGGAATCGAACCTGCGACCCTGTTGCTCAGAGCTTACGCTCTTAACCAACTGAGCCACTCAGCTGGCCCATTACTAGTTTTAGAACATTCAAGTAGCATCAGCCAAGTGTTCACGAAGCACCTTTGTCGTCAAGTCATCTCTCCATTGCCGGCAAGCCAAGAAATCTTATTTCTTTAAAAAGTCCATGATTTAGGTGCTGAGTTCATGCGGTTTTATTTAGGAAAGACAAGTCATTAAATGGTGGATTGTGTTTTAACACGTTGCGATAGGTGACAGTTAGATAGATGCAGGTTTTTTCAGCTGACTAGGGGTAGGGTCTGTTATTAGGTTTTGGAAGTTTGATGGTTGCTTCATTCCACTGTATTGTGTCTTCTGCCCACGGAAGGAAAAAGCTCTTGTATCCTCCACTCATTATTCCTGTTTTTTCAGGGGCAGATGTCCACGCCAGGGACCCCCGCCGCGGGATGTCTCCCCAGGAGTGGGCCGCTTACACAGGGCGGGTGGATGCTGTGCGCCTCATCCAGAGGCTGCTGGATCGCCCCTGCCCGGAGCAGTTTGCGGAAAAGTACAAGCCAGAGCTGCCGCTGTCCCCCGAGGCGGTTCTGAAGCCCGCGAATTCCAAAAACTGCTTGCAGAGGCTCAGTGAGTTTATGCGGTCCTCGCTGACCTCCCGCTCACGCCAGGGTCTGGAGGATGGGGGGGTCTTGGACCACATGGTCAAGATGACCACTAGCCTCTACAGCCCCGTGGTGGCCATCGCGTGCCAGACCGTGTGCCCTGAGAACCCGCCCTGTGTGGGGAAAAGGCGGCTGGCGGTGCAGGAAATCCTGGAAGCTCCTGGGAACCCGGACACCCATGCCCCGGAGACACACAAGGGGGAGCAGCAGCCCCGGACCTCCCAGGTCGTGGGGGTCTCCAGAGAGGGGGCCCCGAGAGCCAGCGTCCCGTCTCTCCAGCTGCCAGGTGCCCCGCGGAAGGCCAGCCTCCTGCCCCTGCAGCTGCTGAGGCGGAGCAGCGTGCGGCCAGGCGTGGTCATCCCCAGGGTGCGCATCAGCAAGGCGCCCGCGCCCACCTTCCAGCCGGAGCGAGCGCCCGCCAAGGGCAGCACCAAGGACAGCGCCCACCTGCAGCTCCCCAAGTGGCGGTACAAGGAGGCCAAGGAGGAAAAGAGGAAGGCGGAAGAGGCGGAGAGGCAGCGGCTGGCTGCGGCGCACAAGGAAAGGCGGGCGGCGCGCTGGAGGAAAAGGACGTGAGGCGAGCGCAGCTGCCGCGACGAGGCGCCGGGAGGCCGCGCGGCTCCGCCCGGGGAGGGGCGCCCCCGCCACCCGCCTCCCGCCCCTGCGCGCCCCTCCGCGCCGCGCGTCCCGCGCCGGGACGGTATCCCCTGTGGACTCGCAAAGCAGTTCACGTTCAGGCCGCTGAGTTGGGCGCAAATCGATTTGCCGAGAACCGGTTCGCCTCGCAATGAATACATCTAGTGGGAAATTTGCCTGACAGTCTACCTTTAGAACCTCAGTTAAGAAGTTTTTAAGACCGATTTATCAAAGGGCAACTTCTGTGTAATTTTGTATTTTAATTATGCTCAGATTTGCAGCCTTTTATCGGTTATGGGGCTCTTTGTATTTAAGACACTTTTAATGCATTTGTCTGGAGACCCTTTGTTTAAAATACTGTTTCTAGCAATAATTATTTGTGATATCTCTATGATTTCATACAGAATTTGTGAAATTCTCTCTTTTCGCAGTTTGCTTTGGGCTTTCCTTCTCATTGTGGATGTGCAGAGCCCTGTATGTGCTTAGTAATCCGATTAAGTGAGACCAAATTTTTTTTCTAATTGATGGAGGCATTTTTACAGCAAAATGGTCAAGTGAGATGGAAGAATCGGATTTCCTTGTATCTTATTTTTTAAGCTCGCCAATCCGTTCCGTAATAATGAAGAAAAACCTTTTGTCAGACTATGAAACTGCATAGAGAAGCATGTATTTATTGCTAGAACCAAACTCATTTTAAGCGAGGGATTTTAGATAAGCTGGATAGAAAATCTTTAACATAGTCAAAAACAGATATAAGAGGAAACACTATTTTTAATAAAATGGGAGCAAATATAATAAATTATTACTAGAAATACAAAAGTAAGTCCTATGTGCTCTTCGATAAATTGGATTCAGATGTCCTTCAAAATGTAAAGAAGATGCAAAAATAAGGAACCCAGAGTGAAAACCACTGAAATAGATGGAGGTAATTTTTAGAGAAACAGGAATTAGAATGGACTATTTATTAAGCAAACTCTCTTGGGGTGGGCTGGGCAGCTCCCTCCTCCAGATTCAGTTCCAAAGATTCTTTGGTGTGGAATTACTTTCATTTCTCCTTTGACAACTGCCTGATGTTCAGTTCATCTTCACCCTGGCTTTGTAGAATTTCCACAATGTGAGGACATAGGCAGAGCGTGGATGTGGCTTGCCCTGGGCCCTGAGCTCTCAGCGGGCGTTTTCTGTCCGTACTTCTTATCTGCAAAGCACTGAGAAATTCTGAGGACTCTGTGGCCATGTGGGTTGTAGAGTATTTGTCATATATGCACTACTGACAGCACTTTATTTAAATATCCAAGTATCCCACTTGGAAGCTGTAGATTAGAAATGTTACAGATAGATTTGGAAGCTCTTTATTGTAACCGTGGATTTGCAGGTCAAACCCTGCTCCCTGGTTATGTCCTGACAAGCACCCTGCTGTCTCATGGTGTGAGCGGGGTGGCCCGGTCACTCCCTATTCCTTCCCACTCACACCTTCAGGCATTGAGAACCTGGGGTCTCATTCTCACCTCTCAAACCTTCAGTGTTGTCTGTTGTGAGATAGGTGTGATGATAATGCAGTTTTTAAAGTAGGATTGTACCAAATTCCTCCCTCAGCCCAGAAAGGCACAAGAAGAATAGAACAGAGGTCTGGACCCACTTTGAGCACCACTGGTATTGGTTGGCTGCAGGTCACAGCCAATAAGTGCCTAAGAGATGGGATTGGCCAAACCCCTTGGATGAGGTGAGGGCTGGTTCCCGAGGTAGAAACACCCTTAGTCTCCTTGATGGTCCAGTCTGGCATCCTGAAAGATCACTTTTGTGTGTATGTATTTTTGTTGCTTTGAACGACTGGCTG